TAAGTTGCTTATCCCTCCTGGAACATCATCTTTCTTGAGGGAAGCCAGGTAGTTGTGTCTCTGCATACACAGAACTTATTATGAGTAGGTGGTTCATGAGTGGTTGTTTCAGCTCAAAAGATTAAATGTTACTTGAACAAAGGCAGATTCAATTATGATATATAAAATTGGATTATTTGGGTAACATACGGTTTTGTTAATAGAAGTCTGTTTTAGAGTCTGTGACTGTAATTTAGTTCTGTTTGCTTAAAGTATTTTAAAAAATTGAATCACCCTGGTAAAAATGAGTTTCGACCAGGAAATCTGACTATAAAATTAAAACCCAAATTCCTTTCCTTCATGCTGTTCTCTGTCACTTTGTGTTTCCTAAGTTGTTCTGTGTGGCATTCACCAGCTCTGCATCACTGTGACAAAACACCTGGGGAAAGCAACTGGCACAGAGAGAAGAATGATTTGGGTTTGTGGATTCAGAGGCTTCCATCCATGATTAGTTGGCTGGAGTGCTGTGGACCTGCGACCAGGTTGAGCATCATGGTGGAGAGTGTGGTGGAGGAAGATGCTCAAATAATAGCAGTTGAGAGGCAGAGAGGTTGGGAAGAGGAGGGATGCAGAATAGAAGAAAAGCAGGGGAGGGGAGAGAGTACAAGCAGGTTCAATGATTACCCTTGAAGGCATGATCCTACTAAGTTTCTTCCTCTAGACATCACCTATCAAAGGTTCCCACCTCTCCAGTGTCAAGCTGAGGACAAAGCTTTCGGGGGCTACTCCACAAAATATTCTAACATGTGTATGAAAAAAGTTTTTTTAACACAATGTTTTAAAATAATGCATATACACAGACCCCTCAATACACAGAGCTGCCTAATATGCAGAATTTTGCATGGAATCCCCCAACCAATATCTATTAGAAATGATCTCCTATTAGCATTGGCAGAGCTGTGCAATTCTTTTTAATGGATATGTGGCATTCAGTTTTGTGCATTTCTATAATTTGTATAATTAGTCACTCATTAGGAATTTATGTTGTTTTCTGGCTTTTGCTATTACAAAAATGTTATAAATATTTATTCATGAATATGAACGATATCTGTTGTTTAAATTCCTAAATGTGGAATTTCTAGGTCAGGAGTTACATGCGCTCACAGTCCTTGTTTTTTGCTTTTTCATTACAGCACACTCCCCAAACACTAATATAGAAAGAAATAATTGCTACCCACTTATTTCCTTAGTACACACTCTGTGTGTGTGTTTGTGCATTTGCTTCAAATACGTCTTCTTTAAATAAGAAAAATGTCCCAGCCACTTTTTCTCAAGCCTCTGGTCAAAAGCACCCATCATTTTATGTATGCACACATATATATACACACACACACACACACACACACACACACACACACATATATATGCATGTGTGTTTTAATGCTTATGACATTTCTACCAGCAACATATAATAGTTCGTAGGTCTTATGACTTGAAATAAATATGATTATAACATATTATTTGAAAACTTTTTCCACTCAACATTTTGTGGTTGAGTTTAGCTCTGTAAATGCATGGTGGTCAGTTATTTTAGCCATTTTAGCTTGTGTTATATTTAAGCCTTATAAAGTCGTTGAGGGACCATTGGGCTATTTAGTTATACCATATGCCTTTGTCTGTGTCATCTTGTGCATGTATACTATGTATGTGTACATTTAGACACATATAGTAGTAGAGCATTGACCTGGAAACAGGTCAATGAGAGGTTTCTGAGAGGATGTGTGCATCTGTAGCTTGCTAAATGCTGCCAAATTGTTCTTCCAAGTGCTCATGCCAATTTATGTACTCAGTACCCATGAAGAGATACCTTTCTGCTATATCCTTGCCAGTGCTTTGTGTTATAATAATTGTAAAAAAAAATCAACGTAGCAATTAACCTGGTATGAAGTGACACCTCACTGTTCAGTTGAATCATCTCTAAGAGTGTTTATTGGCCGTTTGTGTTTTCTCCTCCGCAAAACGCCTGTTCATATAACAGTTCACCTTTCTTTTAGAATCTTTATTTCTTGTTGAGTTTTTAATTGAATTTTTATAGTTATGATTTTCAATTACTCAAATTTATAAGATATAATGCAGGAAAATCCCCCCAAAATTGTACTCAGTTTCTACATTCACTTGCAAAATGATAGTATACAATTGTAACAAGAACATCAACATCAATATAATCTGCTGATCTCATTCCCATTGTTTCTCTTTCCATGACGCTGATGCGTGTGTGGTGTGGGAATGTATACACTTAGGTAGACATTGCATTACTGACTTTGTTTCTGGTATAGCTAAATATCTCTTCTGGTTTTACATTTCTTTTCAAGTCTATTTGGATATTGTATATTTCCAAAAAATTTGAAATTTTGCATGATTATTGTCATATTGTTCCAGAAAAATATTTTGGGTTAGTCATCCCTAAATTGTAGCATCCTCAAAACTCACATACCCCAGCACAGTGTCCTTCATCCATGATTTAAGGAGTCATCCTGTTAGCTGAGAATTATTTCAGTGGGCCAGGATCAGAGGAAGCTTATTTTAAATCCCTTCTTCTCTGTGCAGCACGAGCAGGTGGCCCACTCTCTCTGTGCTGTGGTTTATATATAATTGATCAGTACGTGCATAGTAAGCACTCCTCAGCTGTTCTTCCTTCCAGCTCCATGCAGTGGGTAAGAAGATCATGCGTGTTTTACACGTGATAAACAGAAAAAAGTTAGGGGACTATATACAGTGTCTTGTGCCTTGTTGACACATGACGGTGCAGGTAGGCGTTAAACTCAGGTAACCTAGCATCAGAGGCCATCAGTACAGATTGGGTGAGGATTAAAGGGGACAGAGCACAGCGTTCTCAGCAGAGTACCTGGAGCCTAGAGAATTTTCTGCAGGAGGTGCAGCTAGGTGCTCTTTTTAACGGCTTCACCTGGTTTTCCTTGAACCGTCCTTGGGTTCAGTCACAGTGCTGTTGGACTGGGCTCATGACACTTCTCTCTGCTTGGCACCCTGTGTTGGATGATGAAACATGTGTAATAACAAAGCTGTTTTTGATCTTCTCCCTGGGTGGAATGCTGTTTCCCCAGGCAGCCAAGGGAAGTATGCAAGCCTGAAAAGCTACTATTCTTGGCTTAAGCCTGTATGTTAGGGAAATAACTTTTTAAATATATCTTTTTTTGCTTTTCCAGAAGATAGTGTCCAAAACCCTGTCCAAAACAGTGAAGCAGATCCTTTTGTAAAAGGGACAAGCCATGCAAGGACATTGTCATTGCATCTCCTAATTTTGTGAGCTTTTTGTGTGTCTGTGGGGATACTTTAGTAAGTAAAGGCAAAGTTCTGAGCACCATGTGTCCTTCCACCTACATATCTGTTGTCCTTTCACCATCCATCCAGCATCCATCCCAGCATCCATCCCAGCATCCATGCATCCACCCATCCATCCATCCATCCACCCATCCATCCCAGCATCCATCCATCCATCCATCTATCCATCCGTCCATCCGTCCATCCGCCCATCCGTCCACCCGTCCACCCGTCCATCCGTCTATCCGTCCATCCATCCACCTATCCATCCCAGCATCCATCCATCCATCCATCCCAGCATCCATCCCAGCATCCATCCATCCATCCGTCCATCCGTCCGTCCGTCTGTCCGTCTATCCGTCTGTCCCTCTATCCGTCCATCCGTCCATCCCAGCATCCATCCATCCATCCCAGCATCCATCCATCCATCCATCCATCCATCCACCCATCCATCCACCCATCCATCCACCCATCAACCCACCCATCCATCCATCCATCCACCCGTCCACCCGTCCGTCCGTCTGTCCGTACGCCCATCCATCTGTCCATCCATCCATCCATCCATCCATCCATCCATCCATCCATCCATGTATCCATCTATTCATCCCACTCCCACCTGTCTGTCTTCAGTGATTCCTGAGAACAGCTTATGTTTCAAGCACTGTCATATAGCTCAGAGCTCATTGTGAATACCCGAAGAAGGTGATTGGTCTGAGGCACTGTTAATAGGTGTTTTCTGAATAGGTTTCCCGGGATAAGTGGCATTTTCTCTGGCTAGAAGGACTGCATGTACAGTAGAAGTGTTAGAGCTCTTGATTTGGTGATGAGAGAGACTGTGTAGAAATGCTTTTTCTTATGCATGTTTGTTGACAGGTGAGTGCACTGAAGGAGAAGACTCTGAGTTAGCTGGACATGATGGAGGAGTGCTAGGCACAGGAATACTGGAGAGCTGTATTTCTAGAAAGATTCCAGATAACTTTGGTGGTCACAAATGTTGGGGAACCATGATTAAAAGCCTGAGCTTCCCAGTCAGTTGCAAATGTCTTATAGATGTACTGACACTCTTTGTCTCTCACTTCTTGAGCTGGCCAACCACGCCAGGGCCTCCTACTTCTAGCAGCGAGCAGCTCTTCTATGCGTTCCACCAGTGCTAGCATTTTCAATATGGGCTACGAAGGAAGGAGGTTGTAACAGTATGCAGCCATCGTATACCGTTAGACAGAGAAGTAGTCCAGTCAGTTTCACTTTCTAGAAAGCTCTGATGTCACAGCATTGAAATTACTGGTGGAAGAGAAACTTGGAGGAAATTTGGGCTATAAGAGGCTAACACTCATTCCTGGGAAACACAGGGGGTCTGAGCTCTGCTGTCATGGTGGTGATGGTGGCTGGAGAGGTGACACCCTTGTCAGAGTGGGAGGACAGAACTGAGAGGCCCAGCAGGAGAAGCTGGGCTGGGGTGGGTGTGGGGTGAGAAAAAACTTCAGCACAGGATGAAACAGGGACTTCTGAGGTGTCCAGATTGTGAGCCTCTGCTGGTCTTTTAATGGCAGCGAGGGGCCCTTAAGCACGAAGCATTCAAGTGGACATTATTCCTGAATCAAAACTTTTGCCATCTGCTCATCTCTAAGATCTGGAAGCAGAGAGAACTTATTTCCTGATGAGACGAGAAATGCTCATGCAGTGAGTGCAGGACATATGTTCTTCCCTCCACGCTGCATTTGTCTAGAGAGCTCAGCTCAGTCCTGGAGGATGCAAGGAAGGAGAAAGAGGAGGGAGAATTACAGAGACAGACTAATTACTAAGAACTTTCTTAGACTTTGGGGTCCTGGAAAGGTTCCCATGATTGATTTGCCTCCCTAGATTTTCTGTCTTCACAGTCAAAATCAAGGGTTTACTCTTCAGGGATAGCTTCATGACCCATACACAGACCCAAGTTGTGAATGGAATCCATTTTTCTTAGGTACCATCATTTGAGGTCCTAAGAATTTGGGATAATGGTACATTATCAAATGTGGGTACATGGTGGTTTCTGCAGCATAGATTCCAGAGAACTTTAAAATATACTGGCACCTGGTCCTTCTCTAAAGACTGGGAAGCAGAACTTCTGGGCATCATGAATTTTTACATCTCCCCCAGATGATGGTACTGATGATATTTAGGTAAAACCCCAAAGGTGGCCAATTTCATTTCACCTAGATGTGTACATACATTTTTCTTTCAGGCATTTTCAGAAGACAGAAGTGATTCTACATCACTACTACTTACATAGTTGCTTATTGCTCTTAGCCAAAAGAGTACTTAAGGTGGAATGGAGATTACATAGGTAATAGACATGAGTTCCAGGGTAAGGGACTCTGGAAAGGCCGTGTCTCACATTGCTAGTCTCTGCCTTGCTGCTGCATTGTTCTTGTTGAAAAGAACCATCCTTCTCTGAGAAGACAATTTCAGTGACCCCTGAACTTATGCTCAGACAGAATGAAGGCCTGCACACCAAACTCCCTAGAAGTTGCATTTCATAGTCATGGAGCCAAACAACAACCCAAGTACTATCCTGAGTCTACCCTCCATTAGTTGTGCAGTTTTGGTTTTCCATTTACCCTCTCTGAACCTTGGCTTCATAACCAAAAACACGAGGAACTATCATCTGTTCCTCAACAGTAATTATTATGGGAGAAGAAATTACTTATATTGTAGGAGGAGGCCACTTGTTCTTCCTGGCCACCTGGCTAGCTTAGCCCCAAAATAATCACATAGAAACTGTATTAATTAAATCACTGCTTGGCCCATTAGCTCTAGGTTCTTATTGGCTAACTCTTACATCTTTGTTTACCCATCTCCATTAATCTGTATGTCACCATGAGGTTGTGACCTACCAGCAAAGTTTCATCAAGTCTCTCTCCAGTGGCTCCATCATATCTCCCTCACTCTGCCTTTTTCCTCCCAGAATTCAGTCCAGTTTTCCCCGCTTACCTAAGTTCTGCCCTATCAACAGACCAAGGTGGTTTCTTTATTCATTAACTAACAAGAACAACACATAGACAGAAGGAACTCCCACACCATTATATGAAAAGTGCTAAAAATATTTTTGTTGGTACAGGTGAACTCATTTCAGCAAGACTACCTTCTTTCAGTTCCTTTAGCTACCTTCTCTCAGTTTCTTTAGATCTTAGGTGTGGTTTCTCCAGAAATGAATCTTGAATGCCTTGATGGCATCTGGCCATCGCAGTCCTAGATAAGAATTAAAGTCATTAATTAGTATCAGTTGCTTTTCTTATGGCTGCGACAAATTACTTGAGAGAAGCAATGAAAGATAGGTTTAGAGTCAATGCAGTTTTTATTGACCATTGCAGGCATGGCATGGTGGAATGGTTTTTTGAGAGTAGAAGCAGGTATGAGATAATTGTTCACATCTCAGCAGGCAGTATGTGGAGAAACCTAGACAAGATCTGAAGGCTGGGCAAAACCTTCAAAGACCTGTTTCCGTAATGTACTTCTGTGGGCTATATCCTGCCTTCCTACAGGTTCCACAGCCTTCAAAATAGCTCTGTAAATTCACGACCAAACACTCAAACCATGAAGCTGTTGGGAGACATTTCAGATTGTAATCATAATGTAAACATGACAGGCTTAAGGCAAGGTTGGTTGTCATCAGAATCACTAGGAGAGTTTTGTAACTCTTATACCTAGACTTAACTCTTATACTCCCAAACAATGGAAGCAGAATGGGTGTGAATGGACCCAGCTCTCAACCCAGTAATACTTTTTAAAACATCCTATGGTATTGTATTTTTGGTTGTGAATCTAGCCTTTAATGACTAACCCATCTCTATCATAGGGGACTGTAGTAAGTATCTGTATTTGAAAACACTTCACCTGAGCTGAGTTTGGTGGTGCATGCCTTTAACCCCAGCACTCAGGAAGCAGAGGCAGGTAGGTCTATCTCTTAAGTTTGAGGTTATCCTGGTCTACAAAGCAGGCTCCAGGACATCCAGAACTACACAGAGAAACTCTTCCTCAAAAACAAAAACAAAAACAAAAACAAAACAAAACAAAAACCAAACCAACCACCACATAAACAAACAAAAATTCCACAAAACACTTCATCTTCCTAAAACATGTCCTGAATATTTTCTGGAATACAAGCCTTTGTGAATGTCTTTAATGTCTTGAACACACACCCTGTGTGTGGGGGCTGTCTGTCTCTTAGCTCTGTCTCTAAAATATATTAAAGGTTGGTCTCTCTTTTTGAATCTTGGTCATAGAGATTTTTGACGGCTTCCATTTTACAATGAAGCCTTGGAGGTGGGAGTACCTTGTCCATGGTCACACAGCAAACTGGAGAACGAAGCTCTTTCCTCTTCCTGTGGTGTCCAGTTTTCTGCCACCCAGCCCCAGCGAGGAAGGGGTCAGGGTGGCCAAGTTGACATATGGTATTTTCTTCTATTTTCTGGTTATTAGTTCTTTGTTCTTGGCCTCTCCCTTCCCGTCTGTGCCCTGAGAGAAAACAGCAGTTTAGAGGAGCTGAGTCTAGGTTTCCAAGCAGGGAAACTGAGTTCTAGAGATGGGAACAGCTTTGGCTGAGGGTCACAGAATCAATTTGTGAGCAGCCTAGAGAAGCCATGTTTGAAATTTCCAAGCCAGGGATGCTTCCCACCCCCACACTGCCACCTCTTTCCGTACCCATTGGTTGTTTGTTTCTTTTTTTCCTCATTCCTATTCTTCAAGAGTCTCCTCATTGTTCATGTTCCCATATCTTTCCTGCTTAGATCCCAGGGTAGCATAGAGTAATAGTAAACCCTGTAGTGGTATATTATTTTGTATTTTAATAAATAAAGCTGCCTGAAGATCAGTGCAAAGCAGCAGGACTAGTCAGCCATACAGGTCAGGCAATGGCACACATCTTCAATCCCAGCAGCCACACTAGTCAACCATAGAAGCGGGGCAGTGGTGGTGCACACCTTTAATCCCAGCACTAGAGAGGGCCATATGATGGGATGAGACAGGAACTCGCTCTCTTTCAGTCTGAAGATTTTATAGAGGTAAGAGCTCTCTAGTGGCTGGCTGTTCTGCTTTTCTGATCTTCAGGTTGAACCCTAGGGTCTGCCTCTGGGTTTTTATTATTTGTGCTACAAAACCCCTGTCTCCTGAACTTCAGGAATGAGGTTTTCATGTGCTGTAGATGGAAGTGGATGGTGGTAAGGGTGGCTCCCTCAGTGTTCACTGGCAGGTTCAGGCCACGACAAGCTTTGTGTCAGATTGGCTGGTACTCAGCAAGCTCTTTTATGGATTCAGCTGGCGCATCTTGCTGCTTCATCTGGAAATGGGCACTGGGAGCAGATGCTTGCTTAGTTGACCTACCTATGATGAATCAAGAGAATGTGAGGTGTATTTCAGCAAGTGATGGGTGGTCTAAGTGCTGGTAACTTGAGGACTGTCATGAGCAAAGGAAACACAAAGGGCGGGGGCTAGAGACGGAAGGTGGAGCCAGGATTATGAGTAGGCTCCAAGCCACTGCCTTATTTGTTCACTGATTCATTCATTTAGTTATCGTGGCCTAATAACTTACGAGGCAGATAATTCAGTCTCTCCGTCATTCAGCCCTAACCCTAACTTTAATGGTAACATTTCTGGGGCATTTGCATTTCAGTGTGACCCACAGTAGTTCAGGGGTCCTGGAGCTCCACTTTGCTAATGTAACAGAGAGGTGATGCATCTGAGCTTGGAATAAGAAAGGAGTGGGGAGAAAAGGGGCTGGCAGAAACTTACCACTCAGCCTAGCAAATAGTGAATATACAAAAGAGAAAGTAGTCCTGGCATTGTCAGTGAGAGAAGTCCAAGCCCTCCTGCATTCCACTTCAGGGGATTGCTAAGTATGTGTCATTGATTAGAAAAGATATTCTACCATATGTAGGATTGTTATGGAACTCCTAGTAACTGAGGTGTCCTGGAAACCCAGGGTCTTCCTGAGTTTTGAGTTTCTTTCCCAGATCCCCTGATGGTTAGAGGTGTAAATGGGATATGTACAGTGCCTGCTCTGAGATTCCCTCCCTCCCCATGCCACAGAGGATAAGACTGCGACGCAGGGAGACTGGGCAGCCCTCATCAGTATCATATCTGTAAATAATGTGGATGCTAAGGCTTGGTCCCCAAGCCTTGCAAGCTAAGACTCTTGCAAGCTAAAATGACCACTACATCTTCCTGTAATGGATTAGTAGGCCTCACAGTTTATGAGAGCTCTCTGTTAATATACTTTTGTATGCTGCCATTTACTTGGTGTGTGATAACCTTGCCGTCAGCCTCTAAAGTTTTTCATGAAGTTATATGGTTTGATTCCTGTTTGTCTCCTACAGGCAGTCTAAAACCTGGCATGGATTAGATTCTGGGTAAATATTTGATGTAGTAAATTGAACACCAGATTCCTAGGAATACCTTGACTCTTATACAAATAATAATAATAATATTTATTTGAAAATTGTTCCTGTTGGGACTTATAAAAGGTTTGTTCTTTGGCAACCCCCAGGTTAAGCATTCTCTTTCTCTCTCTCTCTCTCTCTCTCTCTCTCTCTCTCTCTCTCTCTCTCTTTCTCTCTCTCTCTCCTCTTTCTTTCTCCCTCTTTTTCCCTCTCCCTCGTTCTTTATTTCCCTCTCCCTTTCTGTGCATATGTGTGCATGCGTGTGCAAAATTCTAGTTATTCTTTGTAACAATTATTCAGGGCAGATTCTCTGGTGGAGGAGGAAGACTTTATTCATGTCTGTTGGATGCTGTTGATCTTGAAACTCCTGCTTGCCAACATCCAAAGACGATAGGAGCAGAAGTACTTTCTCTTCCATTAAGCATGCTTCACTTTTTCAGGGTCTTGCTCTCAGACCCTTGGCTTGAGAATTCTCAGCCTTCTCGCTCTCATTTCATAGAAAATTCTAAAATGTGTCTTAGAAGATTCTCTCGTGCACAGTTTCCTATTAGTTCCTGACATGTGTCCTAACTGAAGGCTTAGACCTGTCTGTTGGGGAGCAGAGTTCCCTTTGGTCTAGATACATTTGTGTGTACATGTGTAGATGCACTCATGTGTATGTATGGTTGGCAGGTTGTGTGTAGAACCCTGGCAGGTCTCTGTGTGGAAAGTTTAGCTTCTCAGACACCACAAAGACACAGTCACAGGAAGTTGTTCACAAGACATATAAAACGGCTTTAGGATCTGGAGAAATGGCTCAGCCGTTTGGAGCCCATGCTGCTCTTGAAGAGGAGCAGAGTTCGGTTCTCAGCACTCACACCAGTCAGCTCCCAGCCATCTATCGCTGTCTCTAGGGTATCCTTATGCCTCTGTCCTCTGCAAGAACCACATATATGTGCATCCCCACCTAGATAATTACAAATAAATCTTTAAAAATAAAAAAAGAAAAACTGTTTTCACTCTCTGGTCTACTAGGTAGTGGATCTAATCCTATGTCATATATATTGGCGGCCATGGTGAGGTCAGGACTCACCCCATACTCAGGAGATCATGTGACTTTCTTGCTCACAGAGAATAGGCTACTACTCCAATGCAAACCCATTTAGAATAAAATCCTTAAACTTTCCCTCTTTGCAATAAATAATACCCTGGCTCCCCAGGGTCCCTGGTTATGTGCACCAAGAGACTCATCTCTAAACCCATTCTCTGAAATTTCTTCCCCCTAATGGGCTTATTAATGGAGAACTTTTTCTCACATCACATAAAAAATATGGAATGTGGAATTCAGCGCTGCCCCAAAATGTCTTTTTGGTTTCTCTGCTTCCTACTGCCTCATACTTTATGCCAAAGTTTATGAGTCTGTAATTTCCTGGAAGTTTATATAGCATGAAAGAAAGGAATGTGATAAAATATGCAGCTTAATTGTAAGAACCACATACTAATCTCACTAATGTGCTAGATTAAGACTGTAATTCGAGAAGCTGCAAGGTGGTTAAACTGATTTAGAGCAAACTGTCCCCTAAGTCTCTTTGTCTGTGCCCATATTTTATGCCACCTCGACCTAATAATTTACTTTATTTAGGTTATTGATTTAGAGTCCAAGAATAATAATGTCACATTGGACTGTATGTTATTTAGAATAATCTCCTCTCATGCTGAGCTCTGTGAGCCTCCCAGACAAATCCTGCTCATGGCAGTGTCCCTGCCAGAGGGCTTAATTTTGCTCTAAGACCACAAACATCTCATTTTTGAGTCATAACCCAGTGATCCTGGCTCCTGCAGCAGTGTTAAGGAGTCAGACATTGACAGGAAGGGCCACTTTGACTGGCTCTCATCCAGCATCCTTGGATAGTGGGATCCAGGGCTCTGAGGCCATGGTACCAGTTCAAAACTTTGGGTGAACTCTCATCTTTAAGCTGAAGTTTGGCTGCATAATACAGCACTGGTTAGGCCCGTTTCGCACCTTAGGTGAGGAGCCCATGATATGGTATAGTAAGTTCAGCATCTTCCAATGATGGGGATTTCAGAGAAGAGGAGGGGCTTCAAAAACATTTTCTAATATCAACATTTTTTTGAGCTGTAAAGCGTTTAGTTATCCTGGGGGAAAAGGCAAATCCTAGTTCTGGATATTTGGGCTTAGCTATGCCTCATTCCCTAGAAATAATGGTGACATACTTTTGGCCAAGGAGGTGGTAAAACTGTCCGAGAGGTTAAAAGAGGCAAAAAAAAAAAAAAAATGGAGATTGAAAATTCTCTGAGTGGTTCGGTAGAGTACACTGTCCAGAGTTTGGGCTTCATCCTCAAAGTACCAGGAAAGAACTCAAGAAAAAAACCATCATGGAGCTAGACTGGGGATTTGAACTCAAGTTCTAATGCTCTCCAGGCTAATAGCCAAGCCGGACCATTCAGGAGAGCCCATGCGATGCATTAGCAGTTCTCCATGAGTGAGTCTGGACTTGTGCTGGTAGCTAGGGTCAAGGGAACGCTGCTTTGGTCATTTACAGGAGCAAATGCAAATGTCTCCTTCACACATCAAGGTCTTAGTCCCATAATGTTCAAGAGACATTTCTCTGAGTTCCTGAGAACAAAGTCCAGACTCCTGGGCACCATCCTGGAGATCACTGCTTGGACTAAACCTAGCCACCTCTTTAGTTCTGTCGCTCACATTTTGTTCACTCTTCTACAATCACATCAACCTCCTACTGCTTCATTGCAAAGCTTGTTCTCACCTCATGACATTTGTACACTTTCCATCTCTTCCTGGGGTGCTTCCTTCCAGACTTCACTCCTTCCTTCCTCATCCTCCTGTCCAGACTTTGTAGAGGGCTTCCTCAAGTTAAACTTGTTTGGTCTTTCAGTACATCCCATGGGTTCCCTGTGATTCCTCTTTCATTCCTCCTCTCTTTTTTCTCTCTTTCTCTTTCTTTCTTTTTTCTTTCCTCTTCCTCCTCCTCTTCTTTCCCCTTGTAGAACACTGTGAAGTCACATATTTGTTGAACACCTATTTTTTGTTTTTCTTTACATTGCAAGCTCCAGGAGCCTAGGAACCCAGGTTGCTTTGTTTCCATTGTGGTGTTGAGAACCTTGGACAGTGCCCAGCAAAAAACAAACAAACAAACAAGCAAACAAAAATACAGGTTGGATAAATGAAAGAGGACCATCATCACCCTTCTTGGAAGCAGTGAAGTGGAGTTCACAGGTGGGATTACCCAACTCTGTTTTCCTGCTTTGATTTTAAGTCATTCAGGGACTGTGGTTTTATTCCCTGGACATCTGCTCATTTTCATTCTCAATATAATTGTCAGTTTTTGTGCCTAACCAGAGACTTCCTGTCTGCCAGATAGACAGTTATAATGTCTTGTTTGTGTGCCACAGGGCTCTGGATTCTAACGGACAGACACCCAGCTCAATGAAGAGAAGCAGAGAAATGGGCTTACTGTAAAGATGCTGAATTCATCCTGGAATCCAAGGGCATTGATGTGGCTTCACCATAGTAACAGATGTTCTAGGCTTCCAAATGTCCTTTCCATAAACTGACTGTTCTGTTTTCATCCCCCATTCCTTTATTCCTTCTCTTTTGCCTTCTCCCTCACCTCCTATCTCTTCTATTCCTTTCTCTACCTAGCTTTGCATCTCACTTCCACACATGCCCTCAATGCTTGTTGCCTTTAGGGCTAAGCTCCAGTGTTCCCTAGCTCTCTTGTATGTCATGTGTTAATATGTGCTCAGCTCAGGGAGTTGCCTCGGTAAAGGCAGCCGTGGCAAAGTTGTAGGGCCACATAGGAGCTTGAATAGAATGTGGATGGAGCGGGGAGATTCCCTTAGCAGGAATGGCTACTAGACTTCTTGCCTCAGCAGGAAAATGAACCTGTCACTGACCACACTGATCAAAGTTATGCACTCATTGTACCTAAGAGAGAAACAGGGTGAAGTCAGGAACTGTGAGGTTTTACTTGGATTGAGATACAACATTTTGCTTGACTTCTGGAATAATCTGCAGAGCCTGTATTAAAATGAATCAATATTCTGAGTGGTTTTGGTTTCAGGATGAGGTGTAATATTCCACAGAATTCTGTGGAATCAAGAAAAGATTTAGAAGAGGGCACTGGTCACTTATATGAGATCAAAAAGAAGATGGGTGAGGAAGTCATGCATTTGCTCATAGAATGAATGGGCATCCAGCCAGAGGATTGGGCTGCAGCTGTAGTACACCTTCTCTTTGCTGTGAAGCGAGTCACTGCAATACTGTGCTGCTATCCTCTTGAAGGGGCAGGAAATGACCCATGCCTCTTTATTCTGAGCCTTATGTGAATACATCTCATTGATGAGACTCTATTTGTCTTCAGAACACTCACTGCAAGGGAATCATGTAGTTTTTAGCTTCTCAAGTTTATAATGCAGTAAAGCATATAGCATAGAGACAATTTTCAAGTACCATTTGCCCCTTAATCTCCATAGCTACCACTAAGCTGTCAGTTGGTGAGATGCATGCCCACACTGATATGAATACAAATGTTCTTCTGGGTGAGTTAATTTCACTGTTGTCTTCTGAGAACTTTTTTCTTTTCTAAGTTTTAAAAATTTTTATTTTATGTATATTTGCTTTCTTTATGAGTGTATATCTGTGTACTGCATGCATGCAGTGCCCATGGAGACTGGAAAGGGGCTTTAGACCTCCTGGAATTGGAGTTAAACATGATTGTTAGCCTCCTTGTGGGTGCTGAGAATTGAGCCTGGATCCTCAGGTAGAACACCCAGTACAGTACTCTTAACCACTGAACCATCTCTTTGGCCCCTTTTGGGTATTCTTGATATTATTTCTAGTCTGGGAATTCAAGTCTAATAAGTTAACAGAACCACTAGATTCCTTGTGTGTATCAACCATCCCCAAAGGAAGCTAGCAGAGTAATAGAGCAAAAATAAACTAATTATTCAGAAATCCTATGGCCTCCCCCCAATTCTCAGATGGGGAAACTGAGGCTTTGCAAAGGTACAAAGGTCACATGGGCATAGATGGGACTCCCTTCTCCATACCTGCATGTCTGCTTAGGAAGTATTTTGATATATCTGGCTCCTTTTGTTTCCTCACATCCTTTTGACAAGGTACTGTAATTTTACAGAGGAAGTGGTCCAGGGTCTGCTTAGCAAAGCAAATGAAGGTTATATTTTACAGCACGGGTATGGCTGTTTCACTGAGTCCAGAATGGACTGGATGCCTCCCCCAGCTCTGTGAGTGGGCATACATGCTATGGTGCATGCATGGAGGTTAGAGAACAGCTTGTGTAGTTGCTTTCCTTCTTGTGTTTTTGTATGGATTCTGGGGAGTCAAACTCCTCCTGAGCTATTTTGCTGACCTAGGAGCCATCTTAGTGAGGATGAAGTGAACACCACTCCATTGGCTTGAAACCCTGATGTGCCAGGTAATTTTTTCTGTGCTGTAACAACTATATCTGACAGAAGCCATGTTAAAAAAAAAAAAGAGTGTTGTGGTTTAAGTAAGAATGGTCCCCATAGACTCATATATTTGAATACTTAGTCACCAGGGGGTGGCACTATTTCAGGATTTGGAATTGAGGCCTTGCTGGAGTAGATGTGTCCTTTCTGGGGGTGTGCTGCTGGGGATGGTCTTTAAAGTTTCCAAAGCCCAAACCAGCCCCAGTGCTGCTCTCTTTGCCTGTGGATCAAAATATAAAGCCCCCAGCTACAGCTTTAGCATCATGCATACCTACCTGCTGCCATATTCCCTGCCATACTGCTGATGGAGTAACCATCTGAAACTGCCAGCAAGTCCCTAAATAAGTGATTTATTTGATAAGAGTTGCTTTGATTATGGGGTCTCTTGACAGCAGTGGAGGGAAGGTTTACTGTGACTCCCAGTCTCAGTATGCCATGGCACTGAAGGCATGGGTGCCATAGCTGCAGGAGTGTGTGATAGAGTCTTTTTTCCTCTTGATGCATCAAGAAGCACAGATTTCAGAGTAAAACTAGAAACTGATGATTCCTTTCAGGTTCACTGCCAGTTACCCACATCTATTAACTAAATCACAGTCTAGAGTTTCCACAATCTTTCGGAAGGATAGTGCTACCAAGTATTCAAACACATGAGCCAAAGATGCATGACCATCTTAAATGAAAAATGGATTCAGACTATTAAAGGCCCCATAGTTTTTATAATTGTGGTTTGAAAGAAAATGACCCAAAAGGGAGTGGCACTATTAGGAAGTGTGGCTTTGTTGGAGTAGATGTGACCTTGTGGGAGGAAGTGTGTCACTGTGGGCGTAGGTTTTGAGGTCTCCTTTGCTCACACTACTCGAGTAAGACAGTTCTTCTGTTGCCTTCTGATCAAGATGTAGCCAGCAACATGTCTGCCTGTACACTGCCTTATTCCCAGCTGTCATGTTCCCCACCGTCACGATAATGAAACGAAACTATAAGCTCAGAAACTATAAGCTGCCACCTCAATTAGATGTTTTTTTTTTTTAAAGAAAAATCTTTTTTATTTTTTATTTTTTTTTAGTAAATTTTATTAAATTATAAAAGTTTCCATTTCCGCCCCCCCTCCCAACCCCCTCCCACTCCCCCCACTCCCCCCCTCCTTCCCCTCCGTCCCCCAGGGCAGTCAGGGTTTCCTGCCCTGTGGGAAGCTCCAGCTCCCTCCCCCTCCCTCCAGGTCCAGGAAGGCGAGCGTCCAAACAGACTGGATCCCCAAAATCCAGCATATGCAGAGGAAACAGGTCCCAGTGTCATAGTCAATGGCTTTTCAGAAAGACCCCGGGCCAGCCACAGTCAGAGAATCCGGCCAAATTCCGAGAATCTGGCTAGATCACGTCCTCGTTCAGTCCCAGTCCGACTGGCCCTGGTAAATTCTCATCAGATCCGTTCCCTTGTATCAGTGGGTGATAGCATCCCTCGCAGTACTGATTTCGTCTTTCATGTTCCTCCTCCTTCCGCTCCCCCTCCGGACCTCGGGGGGCTCAATCCGTTGCTCCAATGTGGGCCTCCGACTGCATAGCCGTCCTTCGCCAGACGAAGGATCTATGGTGATAAGCAAAATATACATCAGTATGGTCATGGGCCACGGCCGATTCAGGCACCCTCTCCTCTGTCCAGAGAGCAATCTGGGGGATTTCTCCTTGGACCTGGGATCCCATATATAATCTAGTCTCCTGTAAACCCTAAAATGGCTCCCTTGTATTCACTCATAAGTGGATTCTAACCATAATTAAAGGTCTTTGAGCCTATTATTCGTGATCCTAGAGAAGCTAAATAAGAAGATGAACCTGATGAAGATTATTTAGCTATCCACCAGGAGGTAGGAAATAGACAAGAGTCCCAGGTAACCTCGGGTGCATGGGGGGGTGGGAGGGTCGATGGAGGGGGAGAGGGCTAGAGAGAAGGGAGTAGGGGAGGAACGGGGAAAGCTTGGTGGCCGGGGATGGGGGGGGGGAGGTAGGATGAATATGGGATCAATTAGATGTTTTCCTTTATAAGAGTTTCTGTGGTCATGGTGCCTCTTCAGAGCAATAGAAACCCTAAGATAATAATAGTTTCTTATTTTGAAATTATAATTACATCATGTCTCCCTTCCCCTTTCTTTAACCCTACCTATGCATAATCATGCCCTCTCTCAAATTAATGGTTTCTTTTTCTTTAATTATTGTCACACACACACACACACACACATGCACACACACCCCACTTCTCTCTTGCTCTCACTCCTAAATAAATTCTACCGGTTCAGTCCGCATAATATTGCCTATGCTCTCATAAGTCTTCATAGTTTTAATAGTTCCAACACTGCTCGTAGGTTCCGATACCAAAGTTTCCTACAAGAGTCAAGATATTCTGTTAGCCATGATCCTCTGTTGAAATAAGACAACAATAATGAATAACATTTCCGATATCCAGTGGCACAGAGGAAGGATTCTCATTCCGAGAGGGAAGAATGGAGATACAACAAGAAGTGATAAAAATTAAAACAAGACACCAAGCAGCTGGGTAAACATCTTGCAGCTCCACATTCCACATCTGGGAATATGGTGGCATCATGTTGACTTCAGTGGACTTGGATAGCTCTATTTTGCCCTAA